AATGTATCTTTTATAGACATAAATTCTCATTTTTGACATGTTTTATTGTAGTATTTTTAGATTTTAAATGTTAGATGAAATACAAATGAAAAAGAATGCATTTAGTGTACCAAATTTATTTATGTATGTTCTGTCCTCAACTTGAGAAAAATATTTTCCTACGACTCTGGTACTTGGCTCAACTTCTCTTTCTATTCTGAAATAGTCTGTTCCAGGAGCTTTAGAGAGATCAATTTCACTGCAGGAGGCAGAGACACTTCTTTTCTCTTTATTACCCATGCCACATAAATCAGAATTCAGGTCTTTTCTTAAAGATCACTATTATTCGGGTCACCGCATTAAGTACCATAGTGAGTGCTGTATAAACTGTAGAGCGTCAAACACGTATAAGTTAACCTCACAAAAGATACATTTTCAGGAAAGAATAATTTTTTTTTTAAGTTTATTTATTTTTGAGACAGAGAGAGACAAAGCATGAACGGCGGAGGGTCAGAGAGAGGGAGACACAGAATCTGAAACAGGCTCCAGGCTCTGAGCTGTCAGCACAGAGCCCGACGCGGGGCTCGAACTCACCGAGATCATGACCTGAGCCGAAGTCGGCTGCTTAACTGACTGAGCCACCCAGGCGTCCCGAATAATCTTTTGATTTGAATAGAACCAAGCCAAAGAAACACGAGATCAAGAATTTTGTCACTGGATGATGCATAAATCTAGGTCAACAGCAGTTCCACACTAAACAGAAAGAAACAAGATGAAAGGGCTGGAGAACGGTACTCCCGCCAATCCGGTGTGCACGCACCAGGTAATACAAGGATACGCAGCCACACGAATGTTATGAAATTCCACATGTATGTACATATGTGCAAAGCAAGCGAGTGCTGTTGTTTCAGCTGTCTGAAGGCTGTTAGTGTAGAGAAGTAATTTGAGCGGCGGATTCCGTGGAACCCTGCTATTTGTTACTTGGGTAGGCTCTGGGCTCTCAAACCAGGGCCTTCACTCATCAGCATTTTTTTTTTTCTTTAATGTTCAGGTGCCTTTTGAAGTCTAGTGCTCCCTATACTTCTTTCTCCAGGGGACTGCTTTATTTTTTCAAGTCGTTTTTCTAATTATATCTGTATATTGTGATTTCTTTCCCTATAGCTGCCTGTTTTTGTTTTACTTATTTTTATTGAGTGATCTTTTAGCTTCACGCTTCTTAAACTGGGGCACATGTCGCCCCCACAGTGGTGAACCAGGGGTTATGTGAAGCTACAAGACAAACTTGAAGCATCTATCCAGAGGGTTTATTTTTAAAATGTGGAAAGAGGTTACAGTGCTGTGGTTTAAGAGTGTGGGCTCCACTGTCAATTTCCTAGGTTAGAATCTTGTCATTTGTCCTTTGGCAAGGTATTTACCCTGTTTCTAAGTATGTTAATCTGAAAACAGGAATAATACTAGTGTCTGCTTTATAGTTGGTTGTGGGAAATAAATGGGCATTCAGAAAAGTGCCTAGCACATAGTAAGCTTTCAGCAGGTATTTATTAGTTATTATGTATCTTACTATTAGATTATTCATTTTCCCCTCTCTGAGCAAAAATAAGCAAGGATGGAAAGATGGGAAATGCTGGCATGGAGATTTAGACAGGGAGACCAGGGATAATTTCACTGAAAAGGTGACATCTGAGTAAAGATCCAAAGGGAATTAACTGGATTCTGGGAGAAGAGAATTTCAGACAGAGAACAGCAAGTACAAAGATCCTAAGGCATCCCTTCCATTGTTTAAGGAAGGCCAATGGCAAGAAGACCAATAGGGCTGGAAGTGGTAAGCAGAAGGAAAAGAGATGAGCGATGGGCAGTGGATCAAATAAGGCTTCATAGCTTTTACTCTGAATGAAATAGCCATCATATGCAGAAGAGTGATATAATCTGACTTACGTTTTTTAACAGCATCTGTCTGGCTGCTGAGCTGAAAGAAGACCATAAGGAAGCAGAGTGAAAGCAGGTCGGCTACTGCAATAATCCACTTGAGATGATGGTGGCTCAGACCAGAGTGATAATAATGGGGTGGTAAGAAGAGAGAATTCTTGATACACCTTGAAGGTTAGAGTTGATAGATTTTCAGATTAGATGTGAAATACGAAAAAAAGATGGTGTCAAGGGTGTTTCTGAAGTTTCTGGCCTAATTAAAAAAAAAAAAAATTAAATTGCCATGAACTGAGATGGGAAAAGTGATTACAGGGAGAGTAAGCTGGAGGGAATATCAGAAGGTATTTCAGACACGGAAAACTTGAGACGGCCAGTAAACATTCAAATGGAGATGTTAAATAAGTAGTTAAATAAACTGGCTTGAAATTCGGGATTAAGTCTAGGTTATGAATTAGGGAATCATCAGCACATAGTATTTATAGAGTCATAAGGCTGAATGAATCACCTAAGGAATGGTACAGACAGAAAAGAGAAGGGGCCCAAGGATTAAGCTTTGAGGCATTGATCCCACTTCTTTGAGAAGTGGAAGGATGAAGAGATGAGAGATGAGGGAAGGAGGACGAGCAAAGAATAAAAAGGAAGGTGGAAATTTTATAGTATCCTAGAAGTCAAATGAATAAAATGTTTCACTGTGAAGAGGGTGCTTCACTGGTAAATGTGGCTGTACGCACATCAAGGAAGATGAGGGCTGAAAGGAGACAGATAGGTTTTGTAACAATGCTGTCACTCATGACCTTAACAAGAGCTGACTATAGTGGAAAAAATCCTGACTAGAGTAGATTCCAAAGAGAATGAGAAAAACTGGGAGATAGCAAGTTTAAGCAACACTTTATATTCACAATCCAGTTAAATGTGATCATCATGTCTATTTCAATTGAAAATTCCCTTTACCAAATCGTCTCCATACAACAATTTATTCTCCATTTAAGAAATAGCAAACTATATGAATACAGGAAATCTGCTATTTTGATGGAAGGAGAGAAGGAGAAGGGAGGACTTTGGGAGAAGAGTAAGAATTAAGTATCAGTGGAATAAATAGTGGTATATTAAAATTCATATACCACTGAAACCAAACAAAAATGGTTCCAGTTTGGGGCACCTGGGTGGCTCAGTCAGTTAAGCATCTGACTTTGGTTCAGGTCATGATCTCATGGTTCCTGAGTTCAAGTCCTGCATCGGGCTCTGTCCTGGCAGCTCAGAGCCTGGAGCCTGCTTTGGATTCTGTGTCTGCCTCTCTCTTTCTGCCCCTCCTCTGTCCCTCTCTGGCTCTCAAAAAGTAAACAATAAAAATAAACAAACAAACAAACAAACTGGGTCCAATTTAGTCACAGATATATGGAAAACAAACAGAAGTTTTAGCACAATTTTTAGTGCAATTGGAATCACCCACAGACCTTTGAAAACACACATGTACACTAGGCTTCACCATTCAGAGATTCTAACTGAGCAAGTTTGGGTTAAGACCTGGGCATCTTAATTTGAAAGCTGCACAGGTGTTTATGGAATCTGAAAACACCACAGTCCAGCTTGAGTTGAAAATCACAAGAATCTAATTGCTTGAAACATAAAATAAGCCAAAACAATCAGGCTCTTCTGAGAAACTCAGCAGTGAAATCATTATTTTTAGAATTGTTTTTAAGTTTATTTATTAAGAGAGAGAGAGAGAGAGAGAGAGAGACAGAGAGAGAGAGAGACAGAGAGAGAGAGAGTATCCCAAACAGGCTCTGCACTGACAGTGCAGAGCCTGATTAGTGGTTTGAATTCACAAAACATGAGATCATGACCTGAGCTGAAATCAAGAGTCGCAAGCTTAACCAACTGAGCCACCCAGGTGCCCCTATTTTTAGGAATTTTTAAAAGGACAAGTGGTACTAGGGGTAGTAGGTGGCTGCGTGGGAGTGATGATATATATAGTACTTTCCTGCCTACAGTACTTGGAACAATTCACTGGGGACACAAAGATGAGTACGACATGTTGTTACTCTAAAGGACTCGCAGCCAATCTACAAATCTACATCAATAGTCAAGAAGACACTTACCCTCCACTTTCTTATCTGAATGAATTTAACAGTTTCCTACTGAAGATTATGTAACTTAAGGGACCAAATAAAATATGTATGACAGAAATTATCTCTACTTGAACTAATACAGATATCATTTAGTATTATGTCAGTATCAACTAGTCTATTTCAGAAAAGGATAATCAAGAGAGACAGACTGAAAACTAATGTTTTTATTCACAATTCCAAATAAAAAGAAAGGCTGCATTCATGGATGATTAAGGGTGACTGAAAGAGACAAATATCTAGAATAGAAATCAAATCTCTGAGTTAAATTATTCTAGGACTTGAAGAAGTTAGCTTTTGACATAAAATAAGACGAACAACGTCATATTAGAAAAATGAAAATGCCTTAAGAGTAAGTAGAGAATTCGCCTGGTTGAAGAAGGCAGATTTACTGTATGAATTCACTCATCTCTTACTAAGATGTGTGTTTGTAGAAATTTTAAAGGGCAGGTAAGCATCACCACGGAGAAGAGAATTACCTGAAAAGCAAACATTAAGAAAGTAAACAGACCAGGAGTGCCTGGGTGGCTCAATCAGTTAAGGATCCAACTCTTGATTTAGGTTCAGGCCATGATCTGGTGGTTTGTCAGTTTGAGTCCCGTGTTGGGCTCTACACTGACAGCGTGGAGCTTGCTCGGAATTCTCTCTCTCTCTGCCCTTCCCCCGTATGCACTCTCTCTCTCTCTCTCTCAAGTAAGAAAATAAGCATTAAAAAAAAAAAAAAAAGTAAACAAACAAGAGTGGATTGTTCTGAAGTTGTGATAACCCTATCAGTCAAACTTTAACTTATACAATAATAAAACTGAAATTCAAAGCTCATATGAATACTCTCAAAGGTTTTAAAAACAGTATGAGTTGGGGCAACACTTAAAAGATGCAGTAATAATGCTGACAGCCATGTCTACGGTGAAATCCAATATACACCAATAAGCCCACCATGGAAAGTGACCCCACCTTCCGTATTATTACCTTGAGTGTAGGCAGCATCATCAGATCCCATACTCAACTTCCGTGCTTCACTTATTCTATCCACATGTGCTAAAGTAGGGTCCGTGAGGTGCTGAATATTCTCTGTTTCTACATAATGATCAGGATGGTTTAGAAGGTTTGTAAGTTCAAAGGTAGGGGACACCACCCCTGGTGAAACTGCAGGGGGTTTATTAGGAGAAACTGTAATTTTGAAAGTATATTTTGTATTGGGTTGAGTGACCACCACTCGAGGAGAAGTTGCGGAGTTATTGCCTATTGCTCGGCTTTTGGGAGGGTGGTGGTGAATAAAGGCAGGGCCCATGCTCACTTGCCCAGACATGTTCCTAGAGGCCGCAGATGCTCCGGAGTTTGTGGATATGAAGAGGGTGGGCTGATTCCTCATGATCTGTTCATCTCCTGGGGCGGCATTGGCCGAAATGTAGACCTTAGGTTGACTACGGGACATCATCTCATCAGTATTTGGGGGACTGGCAGCTATGTAAACAGTGGGCTGATTTCTATTTAAGGTCTGGCTGTTGACCGAAGAGGAACTGCTGGAGGTCCGAGGTCCAGAGGAACGCAATTTTGAAGAGCTGTTTCTTTGTGGGGGTTCAAGTTTGATTTCGATCTGGTTTTTTCGAGGTCCTGTCGAAATGTTCTGAATGTTGTATTGGCTATGGGCAGAAGACTGGGAGCTCCCAGATGAATGAATGGTCGGTGGCTGTGGAGTAGTAGGTGAACTGATGGGCATGTAGACGTGAGAGGTCTGGTGGCCTTGCTGGTTTGGCTGCTGGGCTGAGGTATGTGACATAGGATTAGATGCAGGATAAGGAGTCCAGGGGCCAGGCTGTGAAGGCTGATAGACTTGTTGAGGGTTCATAGGATTAAACTGAGATACCCAGCCAGAATGCTGTTGTGTCTGTCGAGCTGTACCACCAGGAGTCGTAATATAAGGCCTAATATAGATAGAATTTCCCTGTGGACTGTTCAGTACAGGGGGAGGTACACCATGTATGTGCAAAGATGTAGGAGTGTTACGACCAGTCTGGATGTTTGGGGCTAATGTCACCATTATGGGATTAAATCTGGGAGTCTGCTGAGAAAGGCTAGATGTTCCTTTGCTGCCTAAGTGAAATCCAAGATGCGGTGCTGAATTTGAAGCACCTGATGCACTAGACATTCCAAAAACATTAAAGCCTTGAGGAGCTTGAGCTGGTGCTGTCTGTGGCTCCTGCTGAAATAGCTCGTTATTGGCCGGACCACCTGGAAGTTGTCCATCACTAATGCTGTGCGTCAGAGTCCTGCTTCCGTTCACTCGATGTCCTTCTCTCCCATGGTGGTAAACATTCTGCGACTGCAAGTCCAAGTTGAGAGAAGTCATGTGATTGCGTAGGCCAGAAACTCCAGAGTCATCCGAGAAGTTCAAGTCTCCTTCACCATAAAGATACCTTGTACTCTCCTGAGAGAGAACTGCACAGCAGGCATCCAGGTTGTTATTATTCTATAAAACAAAAATAAAAACAGCTTGGTGTTAACAACCAGAAGCTCATGCTCACATGCTCATCACTACTAAAATATTACGTGATTAACTAGCGACTAGTTAATACAATTCTAACAGATCTGTTGGAATCTTTAATTTGAGAAGAACTATTTTTGGTGCAAATGACGGAATTATAAAAATCCTCACTGCTAACTTAATGGAAAAGCTCTCTAGCAATAGCTGACAGCAAACCAGGTCACGGTTCTGTTTTAGGAGCTGTTTTGTAAGTAAAATGGATTCATGCAAATACAGTAAAAGTATAACCTAATTAAAAACACGATTTGAATGTTGAACAAAACATAACCACTCGAGTATTATATATTAATTAGATGTCCTGCATTCAAATGCTGTATCAATTGTTTTAAACTAATGACTTTTTAAAAAAATCACGTATGGAGTGTTTAAATATAAAAAGTCTGAAAATTCACAACAAAGTCATCTCAATTCCTTACATGCTTCCTCTTAACCTGTGTAAAAAAACCCCACACATATATAGGAAATGGAAGTTCCAGGGAGGCCCTAGAGTAATGGAGTTCGTATCTCTGCCTTTAGACAGTACCATACAAATCTACTCCACAGAAATGAAAACAAAAACAAAAAAGCAACCAGATTATTTCCAAAGAATCCTCAAGAGACTGACCAATCATTACTCATAAATCATCCATAAAAATATTTACTGAACACCCGAAATATGCACAGTAGTCTGAGCCTGTGGAAAAACTCAATGACCTATAAAACCAAACTTTCCCTAGAAGAGTTCTGGAACTCGATTAGGGAGACAAACCATGGATTTATGAAAAGGTAACATTATTAAAACAGGAGTATGTGCCAAGTGGTTTTGAAGTTCGACAGAGTCAGTACTGTAGGCTACTGTACAAAGAACTGTTATTAAGGGACATGTAGTCTGATGGGTTTTATATATAGTAGGATATGCGTTTATACACGACTTGGATAGGAACAAAGAATTCCAGGTGAAGGGAATGGCAGGAGTAAAGACAGATGTAAGTGTGATCAACAAAAGCATATTTTAAACAAGGTAATTTCAACAGACTTAGTTGGAACTAAAGGTTTTATTGGAGATTTTAAGATTTTAAGAAAAAAAAAGAGATTGAGATTAAATTAGGCATACCTCGTTTTACTGTGCTTCTGTGCTTTGCAGATAGTGTTGTTCTTTTACAAATTCAAAGTCTGTGGCAAGCCTGCATTGAGCAAACGTATTGGCACTGTTTTTCCAACAGCATTTGCTCACTTAATGTCTCTGTGTCACATTTTGGTAACTGTTGCAATATTTCACACCTTTCCATACTATTATGTTTGTTATGGCAATCCATGATCCAGTGATCTTTGATGTTACTATTATAATAGATTTGGGGTGCCACGAATTCTATGGATGTGCCACGACCCACATCCATAGAAGATGATGAACTTAACCGATAAATTTGTATGTTCCGACTACTCTCTCTCCCTATCCTTGGGCTTCCCTATTCCCTGTGACACAATACTGAAATTATGCCAATTAATAATCCTACGATGGCTTCTAAGTGTTCAAGTGAAAGGAAGAGCCACCCACGTCTCTCACTTTAAATCAAAAGCTAGAATTGATTAAGCTTAGTGAGGAAGGCATGTTGAAAGCCGAGACAGGCCTCTTGTGCCAGAGAGCTAGGTTGTAAGTGCAAAGGAAAAGTTCTTGAAGGAAATTAAAAGTGCTAGCCCAGCGAACATACTAATGATAAGAAAACGAAATAGCCCTATTGCTGATATGAGAAGGTTATAGTGGTCTGGATAGAAGATGGAACCAGCTTCACCATTCCTTTAAGCCAAAGCTGAATCCAGAGCAAGGCCCTAACCTCTCTTCAATTCTGTGAAGGCTGAGAGAGGTGAGGAAGATGAAGAAAAATCTAAAGCTAGAAGGGGTTGGTTTATGAGGTTTAAGAAAAAAGTCATCTCCATAACATCAAGTGCAAGGTGAAGCAGCAAGGGTTGATATAGAAGCTGCAGCAAGTTATACAGAAGATCTAGCTAAGACAATTAACAAAGGTGGCTACATTAAACAAATTTTCAGTGTAGATGAAGCAGCCTTCTATTAGAAGGAGATGCCATCTAGGCCTTTCATAGCTATAGAGGAGAAGCCAATGCCCAGCTTCAAAGCTTCAAAAACCAGGCTGACTCTCTTGTTAGGAGGCTAACGCCTCCTAGTGACTTGAAGTTGAAGCCAATGCTCATATACTATTCCCCAAATCCTAGGGCCCTTAACAATTATGCTAAATCTGTTCTGTTTTTGCTCTAAAAAGGGAACAAAGCCTTGATGACAGCACATCTGGTTACAAAATGGTTTACTGAATATTTGGAGCCCATAGTTGAGACCTACAGCTCAGGAAAAGATTCCTTTCGAAATATTACTGCTGACAATGCACTTGGTCACCCAAGAGCTCTGATGGAGATGTACAATGAGATTTATGTTGTTTTCACGCCTGCTAACATAATACCCACTCTACAGCCCATGGCTTACGGAATCATTTTGACCTTCAAGTCTCATTATTTAAGAAATATGTTTTGTAAGGCTATAGCTGCCACAGACAGTGATTCCTCTGATAGATCCGGGCAAAGTAAACTGAAAACTTTCTGGACATGATTCACCATTCTAGATGCCATTAAACACATTTGTAATTCATGGGGAGAGGTCAAAATACCAACATTAAGAGAAGTGAGAAAGAAGTGGATTCCAGCCCTCACAGACAACTTTGAGGTGGTTCAAGACTTCAGTGGACGAAGTCACTGCAGATGTAGTGGGGACAGCAGAAGAACTACAATAAGAAGCAGAGCCTGAAGAAGTGACTGAAATGGGTCATCTCATGCTAAAACTAACCGATGAGGAAAAAAAGTGGTCTTTTTGAGATGGCATTTACTGCTGGTGAAGATGCTGTGAAGATTGCTCAAATGACAATAAATGATGTAGAATATTATATAAACTTAGTTGAGAAACCAGTGGCAGGATGTGACGGACTCCAATTTTGAAAGAAGTTCTACTGTGGGTAAAATGCTATCAAACAGCCTTGCGTGCGACACAGAAATCGTTTGTGAAAGAGTCAGCTGATGTAGCAAACTTCATTGTTTTAAGAAACTGCCACAACCTTTAGCAACCACCTCCCCGATCGGTCAGCAGCCATCCACATCAAGGCAAGATCTTCCACCAGCGCAGAGACTGTGACTCACAGAAAGCTCAGATGATGGCTAGCAGTTTTGGCAACAAAGTGTTTTTTAATTAAGGTATGCTCATTCTCTTTTTAGACATCATGCTACTGCATTAATAGACTACAGTATAAACATACTTTTTATATGGCACTGGGAACCCCCAAAATTCGCTTGACTGGCTCGGTTATGATATTTGCTTTATTGTGGTGGTCTGGAACTACACCCTTAATATTTCCAAGGTATGCCTATAATTGAGGGTTTTGAAAAATGAGTCACACTAAAGTTAGGACCAGATATAGGCTGTGGGGAGAGCCACTGAACGTGAATGAGCAGAGAAGTGCAGACACAGGGTATTTTGGGAGGGTGGTCTGTTGATACTTCATATGAAAAGGAAAGGGGCAACTTCTGGATAAGACCACCACTGGAAGACATGAAATAAGGACTGTTTGACAGTAGACACAAATTACGAAGGATTACAAATAAACAGTCAATGCAATTTGTCTACAAGAGAGAAAGAGACTTCAGAGAGGTTGGAAGATTAGGAACCTGACAGAAAGAGGTCAGTTTTAGACACAAAAAAGATACGTAACCAAGTTAAAATGTTTACAGGTGGTTTGATAGGAGATAATACCTTATTAGAGAAAACTGAACTACAAAAGGCATCTTGAAGTCTTGTTAAGAAATGACAGTCCACAGTTTGAACAGGTAATGCAAAATATAGTGGGCAAGGCTTGACTTATTTCCGCCCTGAAAGCTCAAATCTCTTATGCTGTAAAAATTTTTACCCTACTCATAACTCTGAATTGATATATATTAGTTTTTCAAATAAAATTTTAAAAGTCACCACAATCTTTATCAACCAATTACTCACTATAGTTAGACCTTACCTTTTGCCAAACCTAAATGGTGCTTTTTGCTTCAAGTTACCTTTATTGCTATTCCTAGCAAATTCTCCCTACTAAACCAAAGCTCACAAAGACCCCATCTTCTCGTCTCTTCTCTGCCAACATCCCCAAATTAAAATGTGTCTACTAAATCCAATCCCACACTTCCTTTTTTAAAAGAGATACTCCTATTTACAAAGTCTTTTTCCTTAATTCTCTTGAGCTCTCAAAAATCCCTTCAATCCTTTATAAAATCTGATTATTTAATATGTTCTAATCCCAGCTATGTCATAACTCACACGCACTTAGGTTATTTACCCTCTACAGACATCACTTTCTTATCAGAAAAACACTGACAAGTAGTATACTTACAGGGATTTTATAAGGCCATAACAAGATAAAAGGAAATGTACCTTTTATCAAATGTATTAAAAATTAAAACATTAAAAATTAAAGAGTAAATACGATAAACTCATCTATATCATCGTCCATCTGTAACAGTATCAAAATCTTTTTTCACCCAATGTATATGCCCCAGCTACTCCCCTCACAACGCTAGATCAAGTCTCAGACATTATTTCGCTTTCATCTGTAAATACTTCAATATGTATCTTTTAAAAATAGGGACTTGGCCGCCTGGGTGGCTCACTTGTTTGAGTGTCTCTTGATTTAGACTCATGTCATGATTGCAGGGTCCTGGGATGCAGCCCTAATGCTTGGGATTCTCGCGCTCTCTTTCCCTCTGCCCCTCCCCCACATATGCAGGCACACACACTCTCAAGATAAGATAAGATAAGATAAAATAAAATAAAATAAATAAAAATAGGGACTTAACCATAATCACAAGGTCCCTATCACACCTTAAAATAATCAATACTTGATATCACTTAATATCTAAATAGTGTTGAAATCCTACGTCATAAACGTCTTTTTAGTTAGCCTGAAGGAGGATCTAAGAAAGGTCCACATATTTAATTTGGCTGATATGCCTCTTAAATTTCTAATAATAATTAATCCTCCCGTCTTTAAAAAATTCTCTAGCCATTTGTTTGTTGAAAAACAGTCATTTGTCCAGTAGAATTTGCCATCTAGACTGGATGGGTGCACTCTGTGGTGTCAATATCCCCTGTATTTCATCGTGAATTAGTAGTTGTAACTCTAAGTATAAGCAGGTTCATATACAAATTTTTGGCAAGACTCTTTACAGCGTCTGTTACTTACTGCATCACAAAGGGGGCATAATAATGTCCCCTTGTCCTTTTATGACTTTCAAGCTGATTGGTAGATTCTGATATTATCAGCCTGATACAGCTAATGATTTCTAGCAGTTACTGATGATCGCTATTTAGAATCTTTATTTCATTAGGGATTGCAAAATGCCGATATTTGGGATATCTCAACTGTAAGATTCCTTTTTTAAAAATTTTAAAAAAATATTTAGTTTTGGGGGGGGGGGCACGAGCAGGAGAGAGGCAGAGAGAGGTGGAGACAGAACGTGAAGCAGGCTCCAGGCTCTGAGCTGTCAGTACAGAGTCTGACGCGGGGCTTGAACTCAAGAGATCATGACCTGAGCCAAAGTCAGATGCTTAACTGACTGAGCCACCCAGGTGCCCCTAAGATTCCTTCTTCATGTATTAGCTGCAATGCTTCCTCAAAGAACTTGCTGTCTTCAACTATTTGGTACTCTTTGCACAGAAGAAACAGAGTAAATAATTTCTTTCTCTCTACTGGTTTTTAGAATAATGAATTGGTGTTCTAGCAACCCCTAAAAGTTACTAAGATTTATTTTCAGTATCATCACAAACTCCAGCATCTTTAATGTTTTGATGTTTATTGATTGTGGTCATTCTTATTTGATCTTTAGGCTGGTGGAAAGGACTTCAAGTTGGTCCATGTGTATACATGACATGAACCCAGTAGCCTTTCATAGCTTGTTTTGTCATATGACAAGATGTCCAAGATCATCTTGTACACTTCCTACCCTAGAGGAATCACCTATTTCTCAAAGACGCCCTAGTTACTTTTAGTGGGACTCCATTTAAGTGTAACAAGAGGTGTGGGGTAAGATTCTAAAAGGTTGAAAATCATTGCTTTTTTGTATATATGCAAATCTGCATTCTCTTCAAAGCTACAAAAAGGTCTGACTCATTATTTCCAGTTCCTCTTTCATTTTTCCTCAAGCTTCTTACACAGACCCAGAGATTACAGATAGTGATATCCTCTGTGATCATCCTTCTCTAACTGATTCATTCACCCCTTCAACCAATTTACTGAACTTCCCTTAGGCAAACAGAAAGAAATACAATTACTGCTAAGGATCTCCTGGTCTGGTAGAGGAAATTAATGTGTTCACAAACAGAATAAAGAATGATAGGTGTAGGGATAAGGACTATGGGCAGAGGTCACCTGAGAAGACTTCACCTAAGGATATGTATGGTACTTAATATTAAGTCTTACAAATACTAAATAAACACTACTTAATGCATTACTGTTAGAATAGCAAATTTTAAACTTATAGATTCAATTGTCATTTTAAGAGAACTGAAAAACTCAGTTAAAAAAAGGAAGTCAGAGTGTTAACGATGCAGTATTTTTACACCATTCTAATATTTAATTAACAAATATAAACTTTAAAGATATGAATTATACCTGCTGATAATATTGTCATCTTAGAGAATCCACAGCGCAAGGAAATGATACAGGCAGTTCCAAACAGAGGAATCTGAGCAGTCAATAAAGTCAAGAAAAGAACAGTAGATATTTCTGTCCTTAAGAAGCAAGATGTTTGGGGTGCCTGGGTGGTTCAGTCAGTTGAGTGTCTGACTTCGGCTCAGGTCATGATCTCGTGGTTCGTGAGTTCGAGCCCCGCATCGGTCTCTGTGCTGACAGCACAGAGCCTGGAACCTGCCTCGGATTCTGTGTCTCCCTCTCTCTGTCCCTTCCCCACTTGTGCTCTGTCTCTCTCTCAAAAATAAGTATTAAAAAAAAAAAAAAAAGAAGAAGCAAGATGTTTAAGAGCATGTAAACACAGTGGCAGCATGGCATGATCCTTTGACAACTAATTTCTTATATTTTCTTTACCGTGTTTTTTTCCATCGAGGAAAGTTCTGAACCAGTGTATTTATTACAGGGAGGTTCCCTCCAGAGGAAGGACAGAAGCCTACCCAATTGGGAAAGGGACAGCAGCTCCCAAAAGAAGAGGCTGTTACCAAATAAGAGATGTTTAGAAGTACACTTAGAGGTAGCTAAATTTACAGTTTAAAAATATCTCCCCAAATTTGGGAAGATGTGCACCCTAGCTGTGCTTTCAGAGGAGCTCTCCCCATCCCTTTCTTTTAACATTTCTTGTTCTAGCACATACAAATTACATTATTTGGATGCCCGGAATGATCATCAACTCAATTTAGAAGAACGTGATCTGTCACATGGGTAATTTGCAAGCAAAACCGATTTCATTTCAGTTATCATTAGGTGTTAGGAAGCTTGCCTTCGGGCAGTTTGCTTTGTGAAACCAGATTAACATGGTAAAAGTGTTACTACAGGGCGCCCAAAAGGAATTCAAAATCATTTATTTTCTATTTTTTGGTAAAGTTGAATACATGCTTACTGACTACATTTTTAAAAAATTGGCAGTTCTTTCATATCAAGTCTTATAACATTTTATTGAAGAAATTGTATTATTTTTCTATTTTTCAATGACTTACTGAACTCTCTCAGCATAGGGTTATTTTATTATCTCTCAGCATAGCGTTATTTTATTACAAAAGTCTATTTGAAAAGTTAGAAAGAAGTACCTGGATTCTAGGGGGAAACACTCCCCACTATCTCTGCTCCTCCCCATATTTTCTTTAACTTCTGACTCCACTCTTAGTGGATTACTGATTCATTCACCAAATATTTATTATAGGTCTTCTACTATTATTATTGTTATTATAATATTTTATAATATTTATTAAGCACTTCCTATGATTCAGGTATCCTACTGGTGGTTTTACTTTCTTTATCATATTTAATTCACTGTTAAGTTTTTTATTCCCATTGTATAGTTAGGAAAATGAGGGCCAGAGAGGATAATTAAATTACTGTTAGTAACTGTCAAAACTTGAACTCAAATCTGTTTATCACCCCAAACATGTTATTTTTTGATTATTTATTTCAAAATTTTATTATTTATTTATTTCCCCCCAATTTTACTAAGGTATGATTGATAAATGAAAACTGTATATATTAAGGTTGTACAATGTGATTTTTTAAAAGGTGTACAATGTTATGATTTAATATAGTTATACATGGTGAAATGATTACCACAATCAAGTTAATTAACACATTCACCACTTCACATTGTCTCTGTCTCTGTGCATTTTTTTAGTGGTGGTGAGAACACTCAAGAGCCACTCTTTTTGCAGATTTCAAGTATACAATACAGTATTGTTAACTCAAAACATATGCTCTTAAACACTATATTATAGAAAGAGCGAGGCATGTTCAGAGAATTCCAATCAGCTGAGGACGTCTGCAGCATAGGGTGTGAGGAGGAAGGACTGGGCAAGAGACCAGGCTGCAGAAGAAGGCAGGATTCCAGATCACAGGCCTGGTATGCCCTCTTCGCAATATATGAACTTTATTCTGAAGGGTATGAAAAAACAATCATGAGGTTTTTAAGCAGGTAAAAACATGATGAAATCTGCACTTAGAAAGACACGTTGGCAGAAGTAATAAGGAGGACTGGAGAGACCAAAACTGGATTAGGCTACAGGCAGGTAGAGCAATTAAATGCACAGATAAAAGGTGACAGGAGTATGAACAAAATGTAGTCACTTGTATCAAGCAGATATCGAGCCTTTAACAATTTCATACAATTTCAAACTTTTAAATTAATTTATCAAGAGAAAGTATGTCTGAGCCCAAATTACTTTTTTCTATCTCTATTTTTAACAAGCTTGGAAAAGCAGTTTTTGATGGAGAGATTTCCAGTTTAATCAAATGAGAAGGCACAACTGTCACCAAATATTTAGAATTCTGGATTTCTAAGACTGTACACGCAAGAAAAATGCAAACATTTATTAGATGGTTAGTGACAACTGGAAAACCTACAGATTAAATTAAAACATATAAAAACAAACTTTTGTCTTTAAAATTGGAACCTGAGGCACTGTTGAAGTCAAATTCCTTCATTTCACAGACAAGCAAACTAAAGTATAAAGAAGGCATATTACTTGCCAAATGCGCTTGGGGTGCTCATTTAGGATCAGAACCCAAGTTTCCTGACTCCTTATTTAATGATTTCCTGACTCTCATATGAAGATCTGGAATTTTTAAAAAGTGCAGGGGAAAAGTGAAGCGAGCTCAGAGTAAGTATGGACCATGTATCAGGGCTTTATACTGGGCTCTCATTTAGTCCTCACGTCTACTTCACAAGGTAGGTACTACCTGTATTCCATAGAGTCTAAACACCTCGTTAAAGGCCACACGGCTATCAGACACCAAAGTTCATTTCTTTTCATCGGAGCACACGAGTGCCAACAGGAAGATAAAAGAGTTTTCTTCTAATTAAAAAAAAAACAACAACCCAGGTTTGTATGAATGAATGCAGAAATCATTGCACACTGACCTGTAACATGCACCTGGATACAACAACTTCAGGTACTTCAGGGAATTTTTGTCGCAGGTCATGTAAAACCTGAAAATCAATTTGGTGGCTTCCTTGGGCCATTCGTATATTGCCTGATCAGGACTATTTGTACAGTAGGCAATTCTAGGCCTTAGTGGAAATAGTACTCATCTCTTCTGTCCAAGCATTTTCTGTGAAAGAAAGAAAAAAATTTTAATGAGAACTGATTAGAGAATGAATATTGTTGTGGATTTAAAATTTCAATACACAGGGCACGTGCTTTAGTACCTAACATTTAATATAAGTTATCAAAATATTATTTAGTCCTACAATGTTTTCCATGTAGTTATACTGTCGTTTCAATTTATAACTCCTGATGTCAAACTTTTAGATTGTTTAATCCCTATTTGTATGCCTTATAATGGCTGTGCCAAAAGGCATTTAAGAAATTATTGTCAAGGATGTCTTCCCTCATTCTTCTAAACGGGGAAAATGAGTAACATTACTGACATTTTTCTTAATAATTAGAAGAGAATCTGAGGTGAGTTATCTTATTTACTCAAAATTTTTAAAGTTTGGAACCTGATAAAGTTTGGTTCTAAAAATGACTTTGCATGCTTTGTCTAATAATGAGCTATATAACCCAATACATTTTCTTAATTTCCAGATATACTTAATCCTTAAATGTGTAATGAATTCATTCTCAGGGGATCAGTGGCATTTTATTCCCTCTGTTTTAATAAAATCAGTATTTTAAAATATACTATTACTTGAGGCTCAACCCCAAAGGTCTGGATTTAATTGGTTGGGGAGTGGCCTGGGCATATGGATTTCTAACACTTCCCCAAGTAATTCTAAGGTGTGGCCAAAGTTGAGAACTACCTACCTTCTTTTTATTCCTAATGGAAACCACGTTTAATTTTGAAAGCCCTTTTGGCATATAAATAGTATGTAAGTATATTAAACCTAAATAACATGAAAATATTTAAATATAATGCTATTTGTGTGATCATGTCATTTTATGATAAATTTAACAATAAGACAATCTCTTTGAAACAGGTTTCTTATCTGTAGTATTTCTCATTTAACCTTGCTAATTAACATAAGCTTAAAAAATACAAATCTGTAAACTCCATCAATATAGGAATTAGGTCTCTTTTGTTCCCTTCATGTAGCTAGCACTGTGTAAGCACTGTTCAGCATAACAGTAGATATTAAAATATTTTTTATTAAATTTAGTTATGGTAGAACTTCTGAGTCTTCCACAGAATATATAGACATCATGCATAGTAAAGCCTTTTAGCTTTTTATTATCATTTAATTAAATTCCTTAATTGTTTCGTCTATGTGATTTCAGCTTAGTTATGTCACACAGGTAAAAATTACAATGGGTTATAGGAGAAAAGAGGAGTACTGAAAATTAGTAAATGGTATTTTAAAATAGCTTAAGGGGTGATAAATGAGCTACAACACTGCTCAACTTGGGCTAGCCTCCCTTGACTTCACTCCAGCCATCAGCTCATTTCTCTGCCCCTTCCCTCTTCTGGGCTAAAACTCCTGGAAAGGAAGGGTTGTTTGTACCTCAGTGTCTTCCCTTTCTCCCTCCTAATCTCTTTTAGCCTACACAATCAGGCTTTCGCAGTTTTTCTCCACTGAAACTATACTTCTCAAAGCTGCCGCAGGCCTTCAGGCTGTCAGACCTCATGAGCAGTCCCCAGTCCTCATCTAACCACAGCTGAGGACCCAGTCAACCAATCTCCTCCTTTGAACAAGTTCCTCACTTGGCTTCTGAGGTTTCTACTCTTCTGGTTTTTCTCCTACCTGCTGGCAGCTCCTTCTCAGCTTTGTCAGATCCTCTTCCTTTCCTGCACATCTAGATGTTGGTGGACAATGGAGTTCGATCTAGGGTTTCTTTTCAACTATACCTACACTCCTCCGCAGTGTAATTTCATCCAAATATACCGCTTTAAACAGAGGCATTTGTATCTCCAATGTCAAGGGAGCGCTCTCCCTTGAGTTCCACACTAATCTAGCCAATTACCTGCCTGACATCTCCTTCTGGACATCTAAAGCTCACTTCAAACTTACTATGTCCAAAAGGAAACTCTTAATTTCCCCCCTTTCAAGCCAATCCTTTCGCAGTCTTTTTCATCTCAGTAAATGGTGCCATCATTCATCCAGTTGATCCTTCTTTCAGATCCCAGATCTAATCCATCATCAAGTCTTGTTGGCTGGATCTGTAAAATAATATTCTGAATCTGACCACTTTCTCCCACCTCTGTTACTGCTCTTGTCCAAGCCACCACTGTAATTCACACAGACTGCCACTGCAAAGGTCTCTTCCTGTTTCGTCCCTTGCCTTCATTTTCTGTTCCCCCTCCGCCCCTCATTCTATCGAGGGATCTTTGTGAAAAGTAAACCAGAGCAAAATCCCCTGCTCAGTCCTACAACACGAGGCCCATGGCTAACTACCACCCCTCAGACTTCACCTTCTACCATTCTAGTCCCCTCGGTTCTGGTTAGTTCTCGAAAAAGCCACTCTTTCCTCCCTTATGGCTTTTGCACCACTGCTCCTTCTGCCTGGAACATTTTACCCTCAGATACTTGCACGGCCCCCTTTCTTAATTCATTAACATCTCTGATGGAATGTCACTTCCTCAGAGACAGTAGCTTCCTTGACCAATCTCCCAAGAATAAAGCCACAAGTCTCCTCCTCACAACCTCACACCCTACTTTTCTTCATAGCGTGTCAATACCTGATATGTATGTATTTATTTATTTTCCATCTATCTGCAAAATGGTAACTCCACAGGATCAAAAACTTTGAAATTCACTGCTATACCCACCTCAGGACCTAGGTCAAACATGCAACATCTGCTGCATGAAATGAAAGTTTTACTGTATGGTTTCTTCACATTACTTTGCTTCTAAAACACTTTTCAAATGATCTAGATGTGGAAATTTTTGCACAATTTGAGGGAGAGGCAAATAAATGAATTTTCAGTCTAATTCAGGACCACCTTTATTAGAAGAGGATGAATCACGAAAATAAATTTCAACTTATCCCATTATTAAAGCATAAAGTTCCCAAATTCTTTGAAAAAGTCTTATCACACTTGCTTTTCTAATAAAGACCATCAAGTACACAAACAACAAAATTGTTCATATGTACAACTGTATTTCAGGGATTTCATTTCCTGTAATGGCTGAATGGCTCCTACTAGCTCATTTCTCTCATAAACACTATAAACACTAGACAAAGTATAAAAACAACTACATGAAAGCAGAAGGCATAACCAGTAATAGAGATGGTGGGGAGGAGGAGGAGTCAGTACTTAGAAGGTTAACAGCATGGGGTGATTTTCCATTTTTTTTAGTGGCGTTTAGCCAGAGAGCAGGCCTCAGCTGGTTCGGGTGGCTAAAACCTAGACAGAAAACCTACAGCCGTACCAGCTTAATGAACCAAAGGGTAGACTCTGGCATACCCACAACAGCTGAAAACCTAGTAAGTAAATCACAGCAAGGAGAGAAGCACCAAATCCTATGTATAAATTCTGCACACATCTCTGATCCCCAAACTACACATATGTGAGATTCCAAGCAGCCCAGCCAAAGCTAAAATAACTGAGATTTCAGAGTTTGAAGCTGGGAGTTCAGCCAAGTTAACTGCCTCCTAAAGCAAGCAAGCAAGGAAGGAAACCAACCAAACATCAATACTCACTACTGAAGGCACACAATAGAATCCAGAGTCTCTACATGCCATTCATAAGAAACAGGAAAAACTGACCCATACTCAAGAGAAAGGGCAACCAAGGGAGACCAAGCCCAAGACGACCCAGGTGCTAGAATTAGCACATAAGGATTTTAAAGGAGCTATTTTAACTATGCTTAAAGATGTAAGGACACACATGCTTGGATTTCAGCAAAAAACCACTCCCCTGAAACCCCAAAAAACCAAAAAGCCAGAAACTATATTCTTTTAAAAAAGAGAACCAAACATAACTTCAAAAAGTGAAAAATAAATGTCTGAGATAAATTCACTGGGTGGATTCCCCATATATTGGAAATGACAGAATAGTCGGTAAACTCGAAGACAAAGCAATAGAAATTATTCACACCCAAGGGATGGAGGATAAAAAAATGACTGAGGGTGGGATGGGGTCAGGTAGGTGAGGGTAGGAAGAGAACCTAAGGGTAAATATCCAAAAGTCTAAGGTACTTGTAACTGGAGAGCCAGAAGGATAAAGGAGAGAGAATGGGGTAGAAAAAACTATTTGAAGAGTAGTGGCTAAAGATTTCCCCAAGTTAGTTAAGACTTTGGTCACTTCAGACATGTGTGGCTGCTATTGGTCAGGGGTCATCCCACACAGCAGGCAGAAGATGGTGGCTGCAACACCATCCAGAAGATGATGGCTGGAGTCCATCAACTCTAGGCTCCAACTCCTCATGAAAAGTGGGAAGTCCTTGCTGGGGTTGGAGCAGACTCTAAAAATGACCAGACAAGGCAAGGCAAAACTAGCCAATCGGCCAACAGCTGCCCAGCCTTGAAGAAATCTGAAGCAGTACTATGTCACATTGGCCAAAACTCGTGTCCATCTCTGCAGTGGCCATACTACTGAATTGGGCACAGCATGTGGAAAATTCTGCACAGGATGCCCTGACCCAGGTGATTCTGATATCACTAGAAGCCTGTTAGAACAGACTGGTGAAAAGTATGCAGAAGTTGTCTTTAATAAAACTGGCCAGAGCTTGTTTTAAACAACAACAACAACAACAACAACAACAACAGCAGCAAAAAAGATCTTACTTAAGAATATCAAAGCCTAAACAGGAAAAGCCAAGGAAGACCACGCACAGGTATAAGTGTCAAACTGCTAAAAATCAAAGACAAAGAAAATGTTGAAAGCAGCAAAAGAAATGACACAAAGGGGAACAATTCTAATAATGCTGACTTGTCATCAGAAACTGTGGACGCCAGAAAATAGTCAAATGACATAATTTAAGTGTTGCAAGAAAAAACATCAACCCACTTTCTATATCCAGCAAAAGTAAACCTTAAGAACAAAGCGAGATAACTATTTTTAATGTAGCCTTTGGCGGTA